ATATAAATACAAATACTGTACATGAGAAGAAAAAATAATGCAAAGAAACAATAAAAACACATTGCTGCCATCCTTATTCAATCAAAATATAAACAGCAGGATTTTTAGAAAATATATGATTTTGTGTATATACTGCACCATGCAATGTTTCTTGCATCTCACCGTCGAAACAAAGAACTGTAGAGGGCAAGCTGGATTTTTACACCACAATAAATTAATTTTTAAAATATCAAAAAGAGAAAAACAGATCAAAAAACAGAAAGACCATGTGGTCTAGTGCCCCTGCCTCCCCAAGGTGTTCTCTCATCACCCTATGTTCATATCTCCATGGTGCACACCAATAGTCCTGGAGCGTGTTCAGAGCGTGTGCAGAGCTGGTGAAGAGAGCCGCTGTGTGTGGAGGCTAAAGAAACAATGGTTCAGCTACAATGGGCCAAACTGCAGACTTTAATTGGATGGTCGATGAAGGGCTTCTCATTAAAACCAGTAGAGCTCCTTCCCTTTCTTGTGGTGCTGGAGACCTGCGGTGCAAAGCAGACATGAACACAATGGCTGAAAACAAGGAGGACCCATTCACACACACAATCTCCATGGTGGCTGCAAACCCTCTATATAACAAGCACCAACAACTGAGGCCAAACAATCCATTTCCTGCCATTAACCTGGAGGGTGTGTGGCTCGTTTGCTTTTAACATAATTCATGCACTTCTCTAAATACAACATTGTGAAAATTTGATCAGTGATTTGCTGGTAAACTCTCAGTTTGGAAAATGAATTTCTGTAGCACATTTGAAAACTTAATAGCTTTGTTTTCCAAACTGAGAGTTTACCAGCAAATTACTGATGACGTTTCCACAATGTTTAAAAAGGAAAAATAGCTAAAACGCTAGAGCAAAAAAATAATAATTGTGAGCAGTTTTATGTATTTTTACGTATTATATTTAGTTTTTATATTTTTACTTATTATGTTTTATGTATTGTACTCTTGTGTCACAGATTGCAACTGCTTTAAATGGTTAATCATGAGACACGTCTCTGGGATTATAAGTACAATTACAAGTACTTATAAGTACAACTTAATCAATATAAATTACTAACATAATAATAATTTTAAGAAGTACACTCTTCAGGGACACATTAAATTCTCCTTTTTTATCACATTTTGTTACTTCTTTTTAGTGGGGGCGATTTTAAGATTTTGCCAAGATTATGTTTAATAAACAGTTGATGTTCATTGGATATTTGTACAAATATCAGCATTAGAGAATTACAAGAAGCACCTTGTAGTTTTATGACCTTGAGCCATAAATCCTTACTGAACATATAATTATATCTCTAAATATTAAAATTTATTAATTTCTCTTGAAATGTCACAATGCAATATCTTTAATTTTACTAATATTTAATTTATGTAACATTTAAATACATAATTTATCTTGTAGAATGTTCTATGGATCTCTCTACAAAACAGGATTGTGTCCATTTTACATGTTTAAAAATTAGTTTTTGAATGAATAGCTTTGAAGTTTGTTGAATAGCTGATGTTGACTTTTTGTTAATATAGACATTTTTGATGTTGCGTAGCCAGGTTATACAGCAACCTTGCCATTTTTTCCCTTTTTAAAGTGATAACTTAATCAATATAAATTACTAACATAATAATAATTTTAAGAAGTACACTCTTCAGGGACACATTAAATTCTCCTTTTTTATCACATTTTGTTACTTCTTTTTAGTGGGGGCGATTTTAAGATTTTGCCAAGATTATGTTTAATAAACAGTTGATGTTCATTGGATATTTGTACAAATATCAGCATTAGAGAATTACAAGAAGCACCTTGTAGTTTTATGACCTTGAGCCATAAATCCTTACTGAACATATAATTATATCTCTAAATATTAAAATTTATTAATTTCTCTTGAAATGTCACAATGCAATATCTTTAATTTTACTAATATTTAATTTATGTAACATTTAAATACATAATTTATCTTGTAGAATGTTTAAATGTTCTTTTTTATATATATAATTAAATATTCATATTCATTAACTTATTCATATTCATAAAATATAAAAAGATTAACTACAATAACCTCAGTATTTGCATATTATTTCCCTACATTAGATCACCTTACCTGATTCCATGTTGAGAGCCAGACTTTGTGCCACTTCCCCAGGCGGAAGCAACCCTGGCCATGTTGGGGTGGGTTCCAGCTTTCCCACATCATAGTGCCTGGGCAGCGTCGGAAGATGAGGCGGCCGGACAGCAGGCATCAGTAGGGGTCCGTAGTGGGCATCCAGCCCAGGAGGGGAGTACAGTTCGTGGAGGGGCCGTGGGGGGGGATAGGGCTGGCTCTGAGAGTAGCTCCAGGACTCTGATGGGTGCGGGTGAGCGTGTGAGTGAGGCAGACCCGGGTGCAGGGCCTGGGCGTAGGGGTCCATAGCATAGCTAGGAACGCCTGTGGGATCACAGTGGGGTCGGCTGGGTAGAGAGGGGTAGTTACTGTCCCAGAAAGATGGAGGGAAACTGCACCGACTGCTTGAGGATGAAGCATCTAAAGTGGAGAGAAAAGAAAGAGAATGACAAAGAGAAACAGAAAGCAAAGGGTGTACTGTAATGTTAGCATGGAGAGAAACTTCTGTCAATTTTGATTTACAGTGGGTATAGAAAAGAATCATCCCCCTTTAAAATAATCATATTTTGTTGTTTTGCAGCCAGTTTTTTGTTTTATACAGCTGTATTTACTCAGTGTAACTTATAATGTCCAAGTGAAAGATGTAACACCAATATGTCAGAAAAAAATAATAATAATAAAAAAACAGAATCAGTGAGTTGGAAAAAGGATCACCCCTTTCCTAAAAATGACTTGTAAACTCAATCAGGTGTAGACAATCACCTTCTCAATGCACACAAAGCCATTTGACTTTCAACTGTTATCATCTGTATTTTGATTAGCTCAGCATGAAAAGAGCTTTCTTGGAGCATTTCAGTCCTTGCTAGTGTAACCGAAGCAAACAATCAACTATGGGTGGCAAGGCACTGTCAAAAGATATCCGGGATAAAGTTGTGGAGAGGCTCAAGTCAGGAGATGGATACAAAAAAGTTTCAAAGGCTTTATCAACGCCCAGAAGCACAGTGAAGTCTATTATTAAGAAGTGGAAGATATTTGGTCTAGTGTAACCGAAGCAAACAATCAACTATGGGTGGCAAGGCACTGTCAAAAGATATCCGGGATAAAGTTGTGGAGAGGCTCAAGTCAGGAGATGGATACAAAAAAGTTTCAAAGGCTTTATCAACGCCCAGAAGCACAGTGAAGTCTATTATTAAGAAGTGGAAGATATTTGGTAAAACACAGACCCTCCCTGCATCAGGACGTCGCTCCGAGTCCAAACTGGATGAAAGAGCCAGAGGAAACTGGTCAGAGAGGCAACCAAGAGGCCTACAGCAACTCTGAAGCAATTGCAGGAATTTATGACAAAGAGTGGTCATTGTGTGCATGTGAAAACAATATCACAAATTCTCCACAAATGTGGCTTGTATGGGAGGCTTGCAAGAAAAAAGCCACTGAGCTTTGCCAAAACACACCTTGAAGATTATGAGGCCACATGGAAAATGGTGTAATGGTCAGATGAGACTAAAATTGATACAGCAAACGATATGTCTGGTGGAAATCTAATACAGTTCACCATCCAAATAACAGCATTCATCCAGTAAAGCATGGAGGTGGTGATATCCTGTTATGGGGGGGGGGGGGTTCTCTGCAGCAGGGACTGAAGCACTTGTCAGGACAGAAGAAAAAATGGATGGGGCAAAATAACATCAAATTCTTGAAAATCTGCTGCCCTCTGCCCTCTGGGAAGAAGGCGTACCTTCCAACATGACAATGACCCAAAGCACACAACAAAACTGAGCACACAGTGGATGAAGGAGAAAAAGATGAATGTCCTTGCATGGCCTAGTCAGAGCCCAGACTTAAACCCCATTGAAAATCTGTGGAATGACTTGAAGACTGCAGTCCACAAACAGTCACCATCAGATTTAACAGAACTTGAGCAGTTCTGCCGAGAAAAGTGGGCAAATATTGTCTAGATGTGCAAAGTTAGTAGAGACAAATCCCAACCGACTAAAGGCTGTAATTAAAGCAAAAGGTGGTTCAACAAAATACTGACACAAGGGGGTGATCATTTTTCCAACTCAGTGACCCTGTTTTTTTGTTTTGTTTTTTGTTTTCTGATATGTTGGTGTAATATCTTTCACTTGGACATTATAAGTTGCACTGAGTAAAGACAGCTGGATAAAACAAAAACTGTGTCCGTCTTCATTTCCATCTGCAAAGCAACAAAATGTGATTAATTTAAAGGGGGTGATTCTTTTCTATACCTAATGTATTTTAATATTGCATTGTAAATATCGGCAGTTTTGGAAGTCAATGAGATCATTATTTAAGCATCTTTGAGGAGAATTGACTTTTTAAGCATTTTCTGTCCATAAAATTTTGTCCACAATCTGTCTGGGTTCGTTTCACACAACAAAATCTCATTTACACAGTATTGCCTGTTATCATGCTCTGTTTCACGAATGAAAATTGTTCCCAATAAAGCCACAGTAGAACATTTGCCAGCAACACAGAGTGGCGTTTTGTTCAGGTTGAGTAAAAAATTCAATGACTCATTCATTCATAAAAACAGTGGCTGCATCCGAAATTGCATATTCTCTTGAGTAGGTAGTTTTATTTAGTAAGTAATTACTTTGCAACCACAAAGATAGTATGTTCTGTATAGTATGAATGTGTTGTCATCGTCACGTGACCTACCAGGGTCAGTTGCGTCACGTCACTGTCATTCATAAATCCTCTCCCATGGCCTTATGGGATAGTACAGTGTCACACTGTACTATGCACACTTCAAAACCACGTCGGAAGTAAGAGGTCATCTTGGTACTTTTTGCTTACTCTTTTATGAGTACTGTGAATATTTATTTTATCACATATTGTTTTTTGCATACTATATAGTAGGGAAGTATGCGATTTCGGATGCAGCAAGTCACTTGCTTTGTTCCTAAATGAATCAGCCATTTTGAACAAACTGGTTGAATGAATCATTCAATTATTCACAATTTAAGACAGGGATTTGCTGCCACCTACTGGTGGATTTAGTTTCATATTTAAAAGTAGACTATCCATTATTTTTTCTTCATTTTTTATCAATAATTTCATATTTCTTTCTTTCTTTTTTTGTTTCTTTGTTTTTTATAATAACTTTTTTATTGTTTTCACAAATAAAAACACCAAAATCAATACAGTACAATCAATAATATCAATAACTTTTCTGTTTAATAATTCAAACATTAATTTCACAACATTATCTATGTCATTTTAAAAGCACTATAGTGTCTTATTATTCTAATTGAATTTATTGATTAAACTTAAGAATTTGACATAAAATGACACATATACTTAATACGATTCAAGAAAAATATGTTGAAAAAAATGCACCAGAAATCAATATATCGGTCCTTAATAAAAAGTTTTTCTGTCACTGCTACTGTTGCTATGGTGACCTCCTCAGGAGTATATGACCCCTGTTCTTGAGCATCTCTCTTCAGTGTGCTTTAACTAACTTGTAATCTCAAGTTTGTGGTTCCTGAAATGTTGTCTGAACGCTGTTGAAACATTGAAACTACATTTGGAGTGTTCAAACTTTAATTAGAGGGGACCGACTCCCTCAAACCCCCCTCTGTTTTCTACGCTGGTGTCGGTCAGTTATCATATTATTAGAGGTTCAACTGAGATGGCATTTCTCTGTGTGTCATTTTTCCACATATAAGGTCGTTGCACCTTGGACTTTCAGGTCAGGCTTGTCACGTGATTTCACGTGATTTCCAGCCCCACGCCCTCAAATGTCTTTCTGATTGAATCATGTGGTGTTCCATTTGCTTCTAAAGAGCTTAGCACACTTTACAGAAATACACACGGCCACATGAGAGAGATGAGAGACGGAAAGAGAGAGAGGGAGAGAGCGAGAGCTAGAAAAGAAGAAAACCCATCAAAGAGACACAAAAGATATTGACAAGCAACAAAAGAGCAGAAGAAAGACAAGAAAAAGGCACAGACTTCTGTCTGCCGTAAAGATCTATAATAGCAGGAAGTTAAACCTGGAGAACCGCATGTGGTTTTCTCCTTCTTCTGTCATATCGGCCCCTCAGCACCTCCACAGACCTGCAAACCCCTATCTCTGCTCGTGCCCCCACCTGTTGTTTTCTAACCCTCTCGCCCCCCGGTAACCCCTCATAGAATGTGGAGGGGGGGGGGGGGGGGGGGGAAGGGAGTGTTCACATATAAGGCCGTTGCACCTTGGACTTTCAGGTCAGGCTTGTCACGTGATTTCACGTGATTTCCAGCCCCACGCCCTCAAATGTCTTTCTGATTGAATCATGTGGTGTTCCATTTGCTTCTAAAGAGCTTAGCACACATTACAGAAATACACACGGCCACATGAGAGAGATGAGAGACGGAAAGAGAGAGAGGGAGAGAGCGAGAGCTAGAAAAGAAGAAAGCCCATCAAAGAGACACAAAAGATATTGACAAGCAACAAAAGAGCAGAAGAAAGACAAGAAAAAGGCACAGACTTCTGTCTACCGTAAAGATCTATAATAGCAGGAAGTTAAACCTGGAGAACCGCATGTGGTTTTCTCCTTCTTCTGTCATATCGGCCCCTCAGCACCTCCACAGACCTGCAAACCCCTATCTCTGCTCGTGCCCCCACCTGTTGTTTTCTAACCCTCTCGCCCCCCGGTAACCCCTCATAGAATGTGGAGGG